TCCTTGCTCACCATAAGTTATTCACATAGGTGGTGCCGAGGAGCTTCGCACAATTTTTCTCTTTATATCGAGCTCATTTTTCCGCTCATTGCCCGTTTTCTTGTCCTCTTTATGAATACGTCTCTAGTGATGTTTTCTTGAAAATTTAATTGATTATCCGTTTCAGCATTAATTTAATTTTTTTTAACATGTTCACCGGTTGATTCCTTCCTGTTTTGCTTATTTCTGAAAAAAGGTAAATCAATAATAAGAGAATAAAAGAATATAATAATTATTTATTAAAGTTTATAACAGTGAACATTGTCCATCGTCATATTGACAGTATCAGAATGAATACAGTGCGAAAAAAAAAATATTAACATCTATACTTACCTATTAGCCTTCTTCTTTCTCTTCAGGTGCAATTTTCGTCTATATTGTCTATTTTCTGGTCCTCCTACTAAATTGTTTCTAAAACAAAATCAGTAGCGTATTAATAAATGAATATAAAAACTAGATTATTAAAAATAATAAAACTAATGCAACGAATTTTTTTATTCCTTGTTCACCATAAGTTGTTCACATAGGTGGTGCCGAGGAGCTTCGCACAATTTTTCTCTTTATATCGAGCTCATTATTGCTCTTTTTTTTCGTCTTTATGAATATGTCTCCAGTGATGTTTTCTTGAGAATTTAATTGATTATCTGTTTTTGCAATTAATTTAATTTTTTTTAACATGTTCACCAGTTGATTCCTTCCTATTTTGCTTATCTCTGAGAAAAAAAATCGATAATAAGAGAATAAGAGAATGTAATAATTATTTATTAAAGTTTATAACGGTGGACATTGTCCATCGTTATAATGACTGTATCAGACTGAATACAGTGCGAAAGAAAATAAATATGAACATCTATACTAACCTATTATTCTTCTTCTTTCTCTTCAGATGCAATTTTCGTCTATATCGTCTCTGTTTTCTAGTCCTCCCACTAGGTTGTTTCTAAAAAAAAAATCAGTAGCGTATTAATAAATGAATAAATCATTATAAATGAATTATAAATAAACCTCCTATTTTTTAAATAAATTTACTTTATTTTTGTCATCTGATGACAACGGCGATGATGGCGACGATAGCATTGCATGTAACTGCTGCATTAAATTTAATCCCTTGTCCACCATTAATTTGACCGAATTCTTGTATGATTTGAATGATAACACTGCTGCGTTAGCGTAGTCTAAAAAATTATTTAATCCATTGTGCGCAAAACTTGCAGTTGATACAACGTTTTGTATAATTGTGGAAGCAACGTGATATTCATATTGACCTCTAATGAAGACAGGGCCATATTTATCGTTACAGTTGCAACTAACTGAAAAATTATACATTTAATTAAAAATTATTATTTACATAATTAGCAATTATAATTTATTTAGCACGTATACAGGATGTTGCATATACATATTAGCCATTAGGCAATATGACGCGTTATAAGGCGGTTCGGTAATACCGAATGATACGTACTTGTCTTGAAATTTCGAATCGTCACCGTGACTTGACCAAAGTGGTACAAAAATATTTTCCATGTTGTCGCTCTATCCATGGATATTCATCCATTTCGTTTACAGAAAATACAAAATTTTAATATCATAAATCTTAATATCACAGTCAGAGTGCTTCTCTCCGTCATAGTTTTTGACGTGACGTTATGTCACGGTCATGAATATTTGTCATGAATCTTATTTATTTAAGAATTAGAATTAAGATTTTCCACTATCTGTTCCCAATACGCTGTTAACAGTGCCTTGGGTATCTTCAATCCTTGGATCACTTGAACTGTTCGAAATCCTGTAAAGTCATTTGTTTAACTTTTTTTTAACGTTTAAAATTATATTTTAAGATTATACTTACATTCGAGTTTCGAGCGTGGGATTTTCCACTGTGTTTTGTGGATTTACAGTTTGTGGGTTTACATCAGGTAAACAATCATTCTTGTCAGATACTTCATCTGGTTATTTGGTTCTTCACTAAAATTAGACATAATATTATTAAAGATATATACAAAAAATATATATGATTAAAAAATATATATTATAAATACACACAAAAATATATATTATAAATACACAAAAATTTAAATAAATGCTAAATACTCATTACTTACTAATTGTAAGCTGTATTAAGTGCCTGTCTCTGCAAGTCTGCCGCGCAAGTTATTATATTGCTAATATAATAAGTATTTGCAATATCTTGTACTTATAAATTACTTATAAATACTGTAATTATAAAAATAAATATTTTATGTTAAAAATAATTATGTTTGAGTTATACTTTATATTTATTATATATCGATTCGCATGCGCGAACAGTTGAAATATAATGTTTTAACGTTACCATAAGAAACATTAGACTCAGCCCTTTTATCCGGCAGACATCGGTGAGCTCACCTTTGCGTTTATAATTAGGAAAATTAATATAAGATTACCGATTGTAATAAACATTTAATGAGGTTGGTAAAATAATATTTTAACTGTAATAAACGTGCGATATCGGATTCATTATAATAATATTCAAAGCATGTACTGACTTAAAGATTTATACATATTTAATTGATACAATTAATATTTTTACATTTACTGTATAGTTTTCAAGTTATTAAACTAATAAACAATAATTGTTTTAATTGCATTTAAATTAATCTAACAATTGATAGAATTTAACATTTTATTTAATTATATTACTTACTTTAAAATTGGATAGCTGTCACACAAGAGTCTGTTCACTCCGAATAACGTTCACATCAAGTTTCTTATTTGTATACAATTTCTTACTTTAGGTCACAAGCGATTATAAGAAGTCACTTTAGAGTCTTGTTACAATCGTTATTATTATTGAAAATAAATTATCCGATGTCAACAAATACATAGAAAATCATAAAATTTCGCTTTATTGCTCTCTCTCTCTCTCTCTCTCTCTCTCTCTCTCTCTCTCTCTCTCTTTGTCATATTGAAGGTGCCTATATAGAATAAATGGGCGCCCCCACGGGGGGAGAGATTCCGTTTCTTTTTTTTTTATCTTTCATTACGATAAATACCATGCATTTTGTAACTTTTGCGCGCGACGGAACGGGCACGCGGCCTTCGAATTGAGAATAACGAGTGATCGCACGATCTATGTCGGTCTGTCTCTTAAAAACTAGTTACCAGCTAAAACACATGCTTTAAAATGTTCTTCTGATTTGTGGAATATTAAAAGTCACTGATGACAACTAATTGGCATTTATAGTTCTGATATAAATAAATTACGATAAATTTCAAATAAATTTGTAATCTAATAAATTTTGAATTTACTAATGAAAAAGCTCATTTGCTTTATAAATGGCCATGGAGATTCCCTTTTTTTTGTATCTTTTTTTTTTAATAACACTGCTGTGTACGGCGTAAATTATTCCATTTTATTTTTAAGTTTTCGATGGTGTATTGCTCTGAAACAAAGTTTACATTTAATTTTATTTAATTTTTTTGATGTAACAAATATAAAATAATTTAATCAATATTTTTTTCTTTGTCAGTATTGATAAAATCCTCAATTTCTTGCCATAGTTTGTTTCATTGTTTGCATTGTGTGCATTGTGATGGTAACATATTTTTATAATTCCATAAGGGAGGACGCTTTTGCACAAGAGCTATTAAAGTTTCCTTTATTGGTGCAATTGCAATTGCACTGTTATCATTATTTATATCAATATTTTCTTTATCAATTTTCATAATACTTATATCACAACTCTGATATTCTTGATTTTCTTTTTCTATGGTCTCAACATCTGTTTTATCATTATTTATGTCAATATTTTCTGTTGACACTTGGGATCAGAGGTGGTGTGAAGAAATCCGAGATCGTCGGTTTGCAATACAATATATTTTAGTCTAATACTACACGTAGTACAACTCAACCAGGGTTAATTAGCCTGTGCGTTCACTACGGCGGCTCAGCTCCTTCTGTCTGCCTGAACCGATCCTCGACCCGCTATGCCCTCATATACGAGCAAAATGACTTTTCATTGTAGGCAAGATAAAACAATTGAAAATAAATATATGCATTGAGAAAAAAAATTGGTTGTACGAAATAAATTTGTATAGTTCGATGTAATGCTTGATTCAACAATTATTTAGCTACACAAAGTAAAATATAATTTATTCTTATTAATCAAAATTTTTTAACATTTATTTTGTATTAGCATAGTAATGTTTAATTTTCAACTAAACATTACTATGTATCTAAATATTTTTAAAACTCAATAAAATTTTTTCTCAGTGTGAGTACTAGTCAAATTATTC